CGACATCGTCGGTGGCTCCGGCACGGCCGGCAAGGTCAGCGGCGAGCGCAAGACCATGGGCGCCTACGCCGAGCTGGTCCTGCCCGTGATCAAGAACCTGGAACTGAACGCCGCCGTTCGCGCCGACCGCTACACCGGCGCGTCGGGCTCGTCGCGTGACGGCTCCTTCAGCTCGCCCAACCTGTCGTCGACCAGCCCGAAGATCGGCCTGCGCTGGACGCCGATGAAGGAACTGCTGGTGCGTGGCTCCTACGGCAAGGGCTTCCGCGCCCCGGCTCTGGACAACCTGTACGCACCGTCGTCCCTGACGAACACCGGCGGCAACTTCAACGACCCGTACTACAACACGGCCGTCGGTTGCGCTGCCAAGCCCAACACCAACTACTGCGACACGCAGCTCACGGTCCAGAACAACAGCAACCGCAACCTGAAGCCTGAGAAGTCCAAGACGGCGACGGTCGGTGTGGTGTTCGAGCCGATGAAGGATCTGTCGATGGAGCTGGGCTACTTCAGCATCAAGATCACCGACGGCATCAAGTCGCTGTCGGGCGACGACATCCTGAAGGACTGGTACAAGAACCAGACCGGCCCGACGACCAGCACGTCGGTCTACGCCAACCGCCTGATCAAGAACGCCCAGGGCTACCTCGACTACGTCAAGGCTTCCCTCGAGAACGTCGGCCAGGCCACCGCGCAAGGCTTCGACCTCTCGGCCAAGTACCGTGTGCGCACCACGGTCGGCACCTTCACGCCGGCCTGGGAAGCCACGATCGTCACCAAGAGCAGCGAGACCAACATCGTCACGGGTGATGTCGAGGACAACCTCGGCAAGTACTACCTGGGCGGCCCGATCATCCGCGTCAAGCAGAACTACAGCCTCGACTGGGACGGCGGCGACTGGGCCGGCGGCGTGCGCTACTACGTCCAGAGCGGCTACCGCGACTACGACGAAGTCCGTCACGTGTCCAAGTACGACCTGTGGAGCCTGCAGGGCCAGTACAAGGGCGTGAAGAACCTGACGCTGACCGCCGGTGTTCTGAACCTGCTGAACAAGAAGCCGCCGGTCACCGTCCAGGAAGACTACTTCCAGGTCGGCTTCGACCCGACGTACGCTGACGTCAAGGGCCGCAGCTTCTACGTTCGCGCCAGCTACAAGTTCTGATCCTCCGGGTCGAACGATCATTCGGCAGGCCCTCGGGCCTGCCTTTTTCATTTCTACCGAGCCAGAACATGAACTACCTCAACCCGGCGCTCGACCTCGATCAGCTCCAGGCCGAGTTCAGCGTCAACCGCCGGCTGCTGATCCGGGACTTCTTCAGCCCCGAGGTCGCCGAGGCGCTGGCCCGCGCCGTGGAGGCGATCGACTGGAGCCTGGGCTACCGCGACGCCAAGGGCGACCGCCGCCTGACGGGCGAGCAGCTGCGCAGCCTGGACGACAGCCAGCGTGCCTACCTGGTCGATGGCATCGTCGAGGTGGCGCGGCGGCAGTTCCAGTTTTCCTTCTATACCGAGTCACTCGCCGACGCGCTCAAGCGCGGTGACGAGGGGCTGCTCGCACGCTTCATCCGCTACATGGCCGATGACGCCTTCCTGTCCATCATGCGGCGCATCACGGGCATCCAGGAGGTGAACCGGGTCTACGCCCAAGCGACGATGTATGCGCCGGGGAGCTTTCTGCTGGCGCATGATGACCATGTCGACGTCGAGGAACGCCGCCTCGCCTACGTGATCAATCTGACGCGCCAGTGGCGGCCCGATTGGGGCGGCATGCTCCACTTCAGCCGTCCCGACGGCAGCGTGAGCGACACCTACTTCCCGCATTTCAATTCAATGTCGGTCTTCGAGGTGCCCCAGACGCATTTCGTCTCCTATGTGCCGCCATTTGCGCAGGGGCAGCGCCACGCGATCACCGGCTGGCTCATCGCCGCTTGACGCCCGAGCTGGCTTTTATCTGTGTCGAAGTGCGTGTAATCGGGCTGTTCCTGCTGCACGGGTTAGCCCCAGGGAAGGGGCAGAAACCCGGGGGCTAAGATGCTGCGTGGCCAGGTTTGGCCGGAGGTGCAAAGCTTTTGCGCCTGGTTCGTGGCGAAGAAACGCGTGCCCGACGGCCCCATGGCCACCGGGCGTTTTTTTTGGCGCGAACAGGGCACCAGCAACGAAGCCTTGCACTCTGACCTTACTGCGTGTTTTCAACGAGGCGGAAACCTGTTTCCCGCGTTCTAGAATGCATGCCCTTCAGGAACTTGTTGGCGGACGGGACGCAACTTCCGGCCGCGATGGTGGTCACGTTCCTCAGAAGAAGTCATTGACTGTGATTTGTAGTTGCAAGAAGGAGCGCGCATGAATTTTGCGCAGGAGAAGCAGGGCGCGTCCCGGTTCACGGGCTTCGGTATCGTTGTCCTGATTCACGTCGTGGCCATCTACGCCCTCGCCAGCGGCCTGGCGAAGGATCTCGTCAAGAAGGTCACCGGCCCGATCGACGTCAAGGTCATCGAAGAGAAAGGTCAAGCCGCCGCCGCCGCCTGAGAAGGTGGTGCCGCCGCCCGCCCGATCCTGAAGGCCCCGCCGCCGCCCTTTCGTGCCGCCGCCCGAATTCCAGGTGACCGCACCGGCCCCGCCGGCACCGGCCATCCAGTCCACGCAGGTTGCGCCGCCCGCCGTCACGGAAATCCGTCCCGCACCGCCGCCGGCCCCGGCCGCGCCGCCGGCTGCACCCAAGCCCACCAAGATCACGGCGGGCATGGTCTGCACGAAGATGGGCAAGCCCGAGATGCCGTCGGTCAACG